GGGGGGGGGGCGACTTCCAGCGCGAGCCTCTCCCCCGGGAAACCTTCTTTGGGAGCCTCCTTCAAGGCATTGTATTCTCTCTGGCTCGCTCTCCCTCCCTTCTCCCCCTCCTTCCCTTCCCTTCCCTTCCATCTCTCCATCCAATCATTCTTATGATCAATACCACCATCAGATTTCTTGTTATGCTTGTCATCAGGCGTTTACCCCTTTGGAAGTTTAGAGCTACATTCAGTAGAGGACTGTGGGAGCCTCTGCGGAAGACAGTATTTTAAGAATCCCGCCATCTGCGAATAGCAGTGTTGGAAGCAGATACTTCCCCAGATACAGTCTGTGAAGTGCTTTTTCAAAGTAGTTGAAAGTTACAAATGGGTAGGTATGTATAATATTTCATAGTAAATTTTCAAACTGCATCATTTTAGTTAGCCATAATGGTGTACATTTTCCCCACAACTACAGCTGGAGATATGTGCTCTCTCATTATCATATTGAAAGGATTTGGGTAACTGGTTCCAACCTTTTTGAGGTCATAACAGGACTTTTTCAGAATATGGTGAGACTGATAAGCCTTTCAGGAAAAAAAAAAATACACGTATTAAACTTTATCTCAGTGGTTCTCAAGGGGGAGAAGGGAGATTACCACCACCCCCCTCCCCCCCACACACACACACCCCAGGGACACTTGGCAAGGTCTGGAGATGTTTGGATTATCAGGAGGAGAGAGGCGCTACTGGCGTCTAGTGGGTAGAGGCCAGGGATGCTGCTAAACCCTACAAAGCACAGGTCAGCCCTTCAGAATTACCTGGCCCAAAACATGAATAAATAGTGCTGAGGTTAAAAAAAAAAAAAAACCTGTTTCAGTGAAATGTCAGGTAATTCCCTGTTCCCCTGTGGTCCATGCATGAAGCCCAGATTCAGAACCCTGATTCAAGTGATTTGAATGGTCTCAAACAAATCACTGGTTACTGAGCTCCGCGATGGCCCAAATGATGGGTTTGGCTTCCAGTTACGCCCTTGGCTATTACCCAGAGACTTCAGATCTATAGAATGGAAAGGCAAAAGATAGAACTGTATAAAGATCAAATTATAGTCACAAGATTTGGACTCACCCTCCACACAACCTACTGGGGAAATTGGTCCAGGACATTTCTGAAGCCTGGAGGAGTTTTAAGCACTGAGATGGATGGCTGGGATTACATTCTTGCTGTGTCAATCACGACACTAACTTTTCTTAGTAGATTTCTTTAGTCCTCAAAAAAAGCAGAAAAAAAAAAAAAACTATGAAGGAGGTGTAGCTATTATTTTACAGAGAGGTCAAGAACTTTGCCCAAGACCTTGCAGTGAAAAGGTGGGCTTTAAAGTATCTCATTATCTGCATTCTATTAAATAGAGTACAGTGCTATTGAAAAGAGTCTGCCCAAAAGGAAAAAGAAGATAGAGGAAGAGGCCGAATCTTTAAAAACTCTATTAGGATGTAATATCAATTATTTGTGGAAGTATAGTATGTCATATACTAGGACTCAAAGTTCGAACTTAGATGAATGAATCTGGACAAATGGTAACCTTTCTGAGCCTGAGTTCTCTCATTCGTGAAAAGACATTGTAATAGATGGTTTCTAACATTCTTCTAACTCATGACTTCTAGCATCATGATTATAGAAGTATTCATGTATTTGAGAAGATCCTAGGAGTCACCTAATTTTGTTCAAGTACTTTTTACAGATGAGGAAGCAGAGGCTCAGCATCCTTCCGGTGTGTTACCAAAAGCCGAGGCTAGAACCCATGTATCCTGATTTCTCTTCTCATCCCACTGTGTAATTATCTTCCCAAACTATAAAATCTTCCAAATCACTCCTTGGGTTCTTGTATATATACTTTATAGGCAAAATGCATTATAATATCTTTAAAACCCTTGTATTAAATTTGCACCTTCAAAGGATCTTTAAATTACTTCCCAGCCAGAAGTTCCCACATAGCAGATACTGCTTGGACCTCTGATTCCAGGTTTGAGTTTCTAGTATGTTTGGACTGTAGTCCCATCGAGTCATAAGATGAAATCATGAATATAAAAAGCATGTAGAAAGCTGTAAAGCATCCATGACAACGCACTTGGTTCGCTACTCGGGATTAATTCCCAACTCCTTCTCCTTGTTCACTAGGTAAGCACCTCCATTCCAGCCGCCCTTAAACCTGGCGGTGACTGTATGACCCTTCTACCCAGTAAGTCTGCTGAGGAGGCCTCCAGGGAAGACTGTGTCCTCTGATAGAAGAGAATGGCTGTCTTGGACACATTCTTGAAGGATGAGATGTTTGGAGCTGTAGCAGCCTTCTTACAACAATGAGGGGAATCACAGAGACATCATCCTTTTGAATTACACCTCCTTTTGAATATTTTAAGAGTAAATTACAGGTTCTTAGTATGGTGTAAATCACTGTTGCTCGAATCTTCTTTTAGTAGCTAAAAGCTAATCCTAATCGATCAAGCACTGTGTAGATAAGACATACGCTCAATGACAGGAAACACGGCATTGTATCCCAGCGCTCAGCAGTTAAAGATAAATACTCAATAACTGAACATTAACTGAGGCAATTAGTGAACACATCAATATCGTTGTGATTATTATCCTTGTTCCAGTGCAGCCTACAGAGTGCATATCTGATTTCTATTTTTTTTTAATTTTTTAGTGTTTTTATTTTTTTGAGAAAGAGAGAGAGAGAGAGCACAAGGAGGGAGGGGCAGAGAGAGAGAGGGAGACAGGCTCCAGGCTCTGAGCTGTCAGCACAGACTGGGGCTCGAACTCATGAACTGGGAGATCACCAGCTAAGCCGAAGTTGGATGCTTAACCGACTGAGCCACCCAGGCGCCCCGCATATTTGATTTTTAAACTAACAGGGTGTGCTATGAAAAATTAGGGGAAGAGTATGATCGTGGAACATAGGAAACAGCATGGGCTCAATCACTTCTGACCATTGGGGAGAGGTTGGAAAGGAACCTCTTCCACG